TTTCTCTCTCTCTCTCTCTCTCTCTCTCTCTCTCTCTCTCTCTCTGTCTTTCTGGCGAGCACACACACGCTATAACAAAAAAAAACTCTCAAAGGTAAAAAATAAAAAAATAATAATTTCTGCACATGTTATTTTGGTCTTGAATCTAACATACTTTACCTTTGTGCCACCTTAGCTCAGATGGGCATAGAGATCATTCTTAATCATTGCCAACCCAGATCCATTTTATTCTTTTACTCAAAGACATAAGTGGACATCCTAGGCCAACTTTGCTTTTTGTCATGCATACTGGCTTTAAAAAGACCATATGAAGTTGACAGAGATTTCTGCTATAGGGCATGTGTGCTCACCAGAGAGACAGAAATAGAGAGACAGAAAGCAGAAAACATCTCCCAGGGGCGATGGCCACGCCATAATCCCTCCTTCTCTATTCTCCTCTCAGGTTTTTGGGAATGCACAGACATGTGCCTGGTGTGAGTTTCAAACCTCTGGGTCTGGGTCTCAAACCAGACCATCCATGCAGGAGTCCAGCAATGTAACTGTTGCACCATCTGCTGATCCCAACACAGCCATTTCTAAAGCAAATTTTCTGCAGCACCCAAATCTCTTGTAGCCCAAGAATCCCAGACAGGGTCACCTTTCTTTTACACTTCAATATACCACATGGTCATATTTTCTTTGGTGTCCAGCCACCTCCATAGGAGGACTGCAAAGTATGTCTGACCACTCTTTTGTGACTCACTAATTGTGCAAGAAGCCCTTGCTCATCTACTAAAAAATATATCTGTAATATTGTTTATCGATACTTCTGGATGGAAAACCAGAATCTAACTATTCTTAATTTTACTATTTTTTTGTCATACATTTTCTAAACCAAAAGGCACAGGATGGTTGGAAACATAAACAGAGATATCTCTGGTTTAAAATTATGATGTGGGAAAAAACAGGTATATTTTGATTCCCATGGCTCATAGCATGAAATGGGATTTCCACAAGAGGGTCCATGTAAATCACGTTACATCTGTAGATTGGGTGCACATACAAACTTTATATAGACTGTGAAGTAACTATGACAATAATGATATTTGTACTAATCGAGCAACTACCAGTTAAGTTAAAAGCTATATTTTATGTATGTTTTTCCGTCTGTTTCTTTTTATTTTCTTTTCTTTTGCTGGAGGGTACATGCAGTCACCAGAAAAAGAGGGAGACACTTGTCAGGGGAGTGCCCAAGACAGGTACATGCACACACAAGCTCCCAGCATGTTTTTCAAACCTCATAGCTATTGCACCTGGAATGCCTTACGTACCCTCTTCTCACCTCTCTGCCCATTGAGAACCTTCCTCTCAATTCTCAGCATAGAAACACCAGCTCCTTCCCTTCTCCTCCTGTGCCCTGCACCTCCTGCCAGTCTACAAGTGCTCATGGTGGGCAAGAGTGGACATCTCATCCCAGAGTCCCAACCCAGGTGAAAGGGATCAGTCACAGGGCAGAAGTGAGAAAAGGCAAGAGTGAGAAAATGGTCTTTTGGAAGGGAATAGAGAAAGGGATATTACCAGTGGAGATGAGACATAATATGAATGAAAAGAAAAATGTATGACTAGGGATATCTCAGCTAACCTGTCTTTCTCTCTATTTCAAGGTCCACAAGAAGGAAATCAAAAAGCAACCTCTCAATCCCTATTCAAATATGAAAACTTCACTGGAAATCTCCTCCTAAGAATCTGGATGTTATTGATAATGATGTTTATGGAGCTATGGAAAAAAAATATGCATCCATATACAGATAAAATATGGCAATATGTGTACAAGCTATCTATTCTAAAAGTGTTGGGGGGGTTTTTTATTTTGTTTTTTATATTTTTTTGTATTTTCTAAATGTCCTAGTTGGTGTCTAATTTTTATATTTTGAATATAGATAGATAGACATATATACATAATTTTTTTTCTAAAGAAATGCTTCTCAAATAGTACCTTCAATACATTTGTGAATTTCTTAAAAGCAAATTGTTTGTGGTCTGCAAATCAGGGTGGGGCCCAGAAGTCTTAAACAATATTTGGATTTGTACTTTAGGTGTTACCTTTACAGAATTCTCTGCATAAGAATGAACAGGCTGTGTCTTGCCCAGAGAAAGCAGGTGAGGAGATCAGTAGGGAGTGAAATCCAGACTGTTTCAGTTGTCAAACTGTGTCTTGAGGAAGGGAGGGTTGTTTTAGCCCAGAAGAGAGGATATCTTTTCAGAATTAGTCTCCTGGACGGAAGTCTCAGAACTGGTGTCCTGGAGAGCTGAACTGGTAATTTGTCTGCCAAATCAGATGCCTCCTGGTTACTTGCATGAAGCACTAATGTGTTAGAATAATTTCTGGTCAGTCTGATGTGAGCTATCTAGTCCCATTCATTTCCACAAGTACAAATAGCTCCTTAACAGCTCTCCAATTATACCCCACGTTCCACATTAATGGATTCACCAGGAGGTTGCCTCAGGCAAAGATTTACATGAGGAAAACACTGAAAATCATTCATTTCCTTTAGTAGTATGGCAGAAAGTAGATATCTAAAACTGAGATTGGAAACAGCAGTGGTGCAGCAGTAAAGCAGAGCTCTGCAAGGCTGACCCACATAAAGAAGGCTCTGGGTTCAAAACATCTGAGACCTCCTTGAGTATCCTGGGCTTATGTGAGCCCCTGAGGTGGGACTGGCTGAGGTTAGGGATAGACTGTGCTCCAGACTCTGTTGGACGTGCTCTCTCTCTGTCTCTGTCTCTCTCTTTATCTCTCTCATAGAGAAATAAATAAACTTTTGAAACCATAGAAATTACAGTGTATTGGGGCCAGCAGGTGGCATGGTAGTTAAGGCACTGGACTCCCACATGTCTGACTGTGGTTCAAGTCCCGGACGTGGTGGCTTGCTTTCTCATTTCCCATCTCTCTCTCTATCTCTCTTTCTCTGTCTCTCTCTGGTGAGCACACGTGCCCTAAAACAAATTAAAAATTAAATAAGAGGCATCAGCAGGTGTGTAGTGGTTAAGGTGCTAGACTCCCACATGGCCAACTCCAGTTCAAGGGTTCAACCTAGAGCCTTGAAACTCATGCCGGGCACAAGTGCGTGCATGCCCAAAATCCCAAAAGGAGAATGTAAAAGGGGGGGTGATTTCTTGCTTTCTGTCTCTCTGGTGACTGCATGCACACAATAGCTACAATCTCTTTAAAAATAATAATAATAAATAAAATAAATTTTTTAAAAACTGCAGTGTATTTAGTGATCACATGCTTGATATCTGGTACTTCATATCACTTAGCATTCATAGCAGCTGTAGAAGTTTGATAGTTTTCTCCTTTTACTTCCATTATATGAGAGAAAAAGGGACAAAAAAGCAAACTTCCTCTCCCAGTGACAATTAGGTGGTCAACTATGGTCCGTGGTTTGGAATCCAAGCCTGTGACACTGGTTTGGGATATGGGTGCATATATTAGGGGAAGAGGAAGGACATGAAAATCAAATAGTGAATAAGGCAAGTTTCCACCTAGGATGCAGAGAGCTAAAGAGAGCTTCCTTCCCACCTTTATGACAATATAAAGCAAGCTAATGTACAAAATCACAGTATGATGAACTCATCAGAGAACTGTGGTGGTCTGAAGCTACTTATGCCCAACAAATATAAGGAAAAGAGGCATTGAAGATTTACATTATGGGGCCATGGTGCTTAAGGCAGGTCGCATGATGGTTAAGGCACTGGACTCCCACATGGCTGACTGCAGTCTGAGTCTCGGATCTGATGAGTTGAAAATCATGCCAAGTGCATGTGTGTGCATGCCCAAGATCTCAAGAGGAGAATGGAGAAGGGACTGCAGCATGACCATCCTCTCTGGGGATGATTCTCACTTTCCACTTTCCCTCTCTCTCTGGCAAGCACATAAGCCCTATGGCAAAAACCTTAAGAAAAACCTTCGAGTCCCAGACCTGGAGGCTTGCTTTTCTTCTTTCCCTTTCTCTCTCTGGTCAAAATAAACAAATAATAATGATGATAATAAATGAAATAAGATAATTCTTTTTTTTTTATCCTCTCTGGGGATGATTCTCACTTTCCACTTTCCCTCTCTCTCTGGCAAGCACATAAGCCCTATGGCAAAAACCTTAAGAAAAACCTTCGAGTCCCAGACCTGGAGGCTTGCTTTTCTTCTTTCCCTTTCTCTCTCTGGTCAAAATAAACAAATAATAATGATGATAATAAATGAAATAAGATAATTCTTTTTTTTTTCAGATTCAACAAATTTCCAATTTTATTCTCTTCTAGTTTAATTTGTTTCTTTCTCTATTTTGTTTGGTCAAAATATTTTTTTTATTTTATTCATTTTTTTAAATTTATTCATTCTCTACATTAATTCACTATACACCATCACAACACACAAATGAATTTTCCATCCAAAATACCCTGTGCATTGGCTCAATCAAGCACATCAACATACATGTTCTCAACAAATAATT